TGTCCACAGGTGTGGTTTCCGGTTTAACATAGTTAAGAAAAATCTTCCAACCTTTTAAAGATCAAATCTGACTATACTATGGTGTATACCCAGTCTTTTGTGGTAGTGAAAAGAGGTCATGGCAGGGGGAAAAAAAAAAGTATGAAATGTCATTTTTCTATGATGGTGAAGGTGGTCATGACGAAGGATAAGGTGAGGCTAAACAGTGAATTTGATTAATTGGAAAGGTGATACTGACAGCAGCAAACAGCCAAGCAGAAAACAGTTTGAGATGCATTTCTGAAGGCATATTACAGACAAGGGACAGAGTACTCCATCATTATATTGCTCTGGCGTACCTCTTCAGAAGTACAATATTCTCTTGGGATCCACAAACCACATTACTATTTCTAGTACTGGTAAAGCAGAATTTGATGAAGCCAGGTGTGACAGAAAATGTAGCTTCTTAAAAAAAATCAAGATACAGGACTTTGGACAACTTGATAAAGGGACTAAGAGGAACTCAGAAATACAAAGCTTATCTGTGAGAATTGAAGGCTTTTGACTAAATGGGTGAAACAAAGCGGTACGTGAAGGAACAAGTAGGATTAGCTCAACTGAGTTCAGAGCTCAGTGGTGAAGGAAAGGAGATGGCAATGAGCTCTTTTGCATTGTAGAATATTTGGCTTTGGGAGTAATACTGAATTTGTGGGAAAAATCTTTGGTCTTGGTAATTACTTTTATATTCAATTTGACATTTGCAAGGTAGGAATTCAGAGCTAAAAAGCTTTTACATCTCTAATGTGTCTGTTTCAAATTCTTTAATAATAATCAGTATTAACCAATATGTAGTAAATGTGTGCTATTTTGTCCTGTGGATTGTAATGAAGATCATACCCCAGATAAAGTTGTTGTTTCTTCTTATCCATGAGATAAAAAGGACATGTTTGTCATAAAGCTGAGTGCTGCCTTCTCCTACTTCCACTCCCTCAGGTGAGGGAGACTGAAACAAAAACAGCCAATATTTTTGTCCGATTGCTTTTTAAAGGAATGTCTGTCCAGCTTGTTGAAGATCTTTTTATCAAAGAAGAAATGATAGTTTATTCTTCTGCAGGCCAAGTCCTTCACTTGCCTTAAGAAAAACATAAAACTTTGTTGAAACCATGAACTTTCATGTGTCTTTTTATATGCCAAGAAAGCATAGTCTATTGCAGATCAGAAGTTGGGCTCTCAAGCAATCTACTTCTGAAATGCTTAATAATACAAATGATACAACCTTGTTGCTGCAGTAACAGTAATTCAGGGCTCTTGTACGAGCACATCTACCACAGCAGCTAAAATATAACCGATGAGTAATGTGGCCAGCGTAATGAAGTAGTAGCAAATTGAACAATTGGAGTTTCCATTACTTGTTTCCTTCCACCTTAATTTAGCATTGACACTAGTGGGTTTTATTTCATTCACTTAATGGCTATGCACTCCCAAGCATGCAGTTGTAACTTTCCTAAAGTCAGGTCACTGTCATACAGCATGGTCTCCTAGCATATGTGAATTGTTTCCGCTAGTGTAACATCTCTGACATAGTTGTGGACAGACGGCTCTGCTCAGGCCCTGAAGTGTTTGCTGGAGGTGGCAGCACTCTCCTCTAGTAGAGCTTGCAGAGCCTGGTACCCATCCAGCTTCCTCACAACTGTTCCCATCAGTCAGATGGGGACAGCTCTAGGGAACCTGGTGAGCTCTGGACAATCTTCTGTTTTGGTATCTGTAGAGAAAATGTCACCCTGCTCCTGGAATATGTTTTTTTCTTTAAATGTCACTCCTTACACCAGTGACCTCATCTGACTCAGCATAGCTTCTCTCTGAAGGGAGGGAACTATAAGCAAGTCATAGATTTTGACATAGAGAGAGTGTCTGGAGAGTGAAGGGAAGAGGCACACCAAGAGAAAAAAAAAGTACTGTTATTTGAGCAAACAAAAAATGATTTTTGGAACAGTCTAACAGGCAGTTATATAAAGCAAGTAAAACCTAGTCTAAACATCACAAGCTTCTGAAAACAAGGGGCCTGTCTGTTGTGTGCACACAATTTATTTGATCCCCAGGTTTCCCAGAAGGTTTTACTGAGGTTTGTGCTGATAGCCACGATGGCACTGTACCTGCTGTACAAATCCACTTCCTGGGTTTGCTCTGGGTGTTTGACACCATGAGAAGACCTGTGTCTCTCACCTTTGAAAACAGGGCAGGATTGAAATAGTCATCAGTGGATTACCAGCTTTCTTGTTCAGAGGCTGCTATTAAAAGTCTGTAGAAGACAAATGAGACCTCTGCTAAGAGTGTACCCAGCAAATGAAGCTGTGACTACAGCATGAGCTTCTTTACTGTTTGCCCTTCGTTATTAGACACGGAGCTTTCTCCAGGCAGGCAGAGGGGAAACAGACGCAGGAGGGACAGGACTTAGAGGGACCTGGACAAAGGAAAATGGGGAATATTTTTACTCCAGAATGCACCTGTTAGTGATAGTGCAGGCACATAAAAGAGCTGTGGTTCTGATGTGTTAAAGGGGAATGTTGGCCAGGACACTGGCATACCCCTCTACACTTTCTTTTTAAAAGTGCCAAGCTATGCTGAACGTTCCTGCAGACACAGACAGAAACCAAAGGAGTAGGAACAAGTGACCTCAGTTTAACATTTCAATGACAGTGCCTCTAATGAGATTACCACCTTAGTTTCCTAGCACACCACCCAGCCTGAAGGATCTCACAGACCCTTTCAGTTGTCCTGAACTGATAAGCAAATGGCATGTTACACATGTGAAAGTAGGACAGAAGCACATAGTGTCTGATTAAGTAGCATCCCTGATTCTTAATGCTTAGCTCTATTCAGCTTGATGTCTGTGCAGTTTTATTCAGAGGGATTTTGCTTCCCTCTCCTTTTTTTAAAAAAAACCAAATGACTGGTGTAGGAAGGTAATGCACACAGAATTCACAGTCCATAAAAACATAACCTGTATTTCTTCTAATACATTTTTCTGTGATACAATCTTTACTAGTGAAGCAATGACTTGCCATGTTTATCTTACTCCTGTTTTTATTCCATTCTCCCAAACTCTTCGAATGGAGCCAGGAAAGGGCACTAAAAAACATCAGTGCATTCCTAGGAAAAGGAAAGGAATCGTGCAATGGGAATTTACCTTCAATTTTTTGTGCATGCTTTTTTTTTTTTTTTTTACAATAACTAACTAAATAAAAATATCCAATGCCAGCATTTAGAAAGAGACCTACTGGATAAACTGGCAGGCCTGAAAACTCTGCTATTTGAAGTGTAACAAGTTAGTTTTCTCTCCCCTCAAAGTAATAATTTTGGCCTCATATAGGGTAGGTTCCAAATACTGTTAATGTAAATGCGCACTCGAGGCATTTGTGAGACATCAGAAACCCATTTTATTTTCAAGCTCTGTGTTGCTTTCTGCATTGATGTTGGTTTGGGCCAGTTCTGCTCACTGAGTGCAACTTTCACTCAAATCCGTGTGAATTGCTGTGGTTTAATTTGGACCTCTGAGTAAAAAATATGATTATGTGGTTTAGTCTAGTATCCATGTGGAGCATAATTATTTGCTTGTACAAATGGCTTTTCTGCCATTCTGATTCTATTGCCTTATGGTTTTGAAAAATTATTTACAATCTTTTCAGATAAAGACTGAGGCCCTGGTAGTGTTTGCTCTCTGCCCTTTCACCATCAGTTTTCTATCACATTTTAAGGTAGCTGTATAGGCAGAGTGACCTATTATCAGCATTCAGACTGAGCTATGTCACTCTAATGCATTATATGGTTTAAGTTTCTTTTTGATTATCAGAGTAGAACCCATGCACTTTTTTTTTTTCTTTTTTTTTTCCCCCCCCTTCTCACCTTAACAATGGGAATTTATTTGTAAATGGAGGGTGAAGGCAGGGATGTTGCAGAGATACAGTAGAGTGGTTCTGGAGGTCGAGCACATAGTAATGACTTGAAAGGGGTAAGTGTTATTTAATGTTTATAGCTTTATCCTGAGAGCAGAAGCTTTTTGTTTGTATTTCGCTTGTTCTCTGTGTTTTAACTATTCCAAATCTAAGGCAGAAATGCTATCCAGTGTTACTGAACAATAGTTATAAAGTTTTATGGAGCACCTAATAACTGGAATATAAACTATGAAAAAATCAATGAATGAATTAAGGGAGCAATTTGCTAGCTATTTGTATTCTTAGCTGTCCACTTAAGTGTTATGCCTTTAGAAGACTTAAGGTGAAATAATGAGACAGGTATGTGGTGAAACTATGCTTTTGCCATGGAAATGAAATGCTGATTAGAAATAACCCATAAGATTTCTATCTGCATTCTAAAAGAATAAATTTTAATTTTCTCTTGAGAAAGGAAGGGCTGTGGAACTAAGAGTCAAACATGAAGTGGTGGTTTTTTGTGATGCCAAATGCATTTAGTATATGCTTTTTTTCAGTTAAACACTTTTTTTTTTTGTTCCTTTCCTGCTACATATGGAAAGATCTGTGTAAAAGGAACTTGTTTGTAGTACATTGTATATCATGGTGCAATAAACATACGTTCAGAAGCAGAAGTTACAAATGGCTATGTAATTGTTAACAGGTTAGTAAAGTGATTTGGGTGTTTGGGATTTTAGCATGGAATTTTGTTTGCTTGTTTTATTACAAAATGTGTTTTGCCCATAAAGTAACTGAGCATGAAGAGGGGCTTGAGCAGCCTAGAAAGATCTGTCCCCTTCCCTGGGGGCTATATTAGACGTCTGAGTCATGAAGTCTTTGCATAGTAAGTGTCTGGTTACAAACCTTTTATGGGCCCTACTCAGCTGGGATATCAGCATCTGCATTATAGCTCCCATCTATTCTTAGGTGATATCCCAGCACGACTGAACAGGCAAGGCAGAAAGAGAATTGCTTTTGTTATATAAAACTCTTCTCTTTTCTCATCCTGTTTTTTCATGCTTTCTCTGTCTACCCCGTCCTTCTGTTCTGCAGTGCCTTGTTGTTGCCTTGTGAAAGAGGTACAGAATGGCTTATAGCGTGACTCTGAATGGACCTGGACCATGGGGTTTCCGACTGCAAGGGGGCAAAGACTTCAACATGCCCTTGACCATCTCCAGAGTAAGTGAGCAAAAAAAGCTTCATTAAGCTTTTTTAGGTTGGAAAATAGCAGTGAACTAGTTGTGTACACTCTGACCTGGCCTAGCAAAATAGGGGATCTTTGCAGCTAGATCTGAGCAAAGAATATATAATGTGGACTTTAAATATAACAGTTCAAGGTACAACCTGGCATTGATGATGCCTCAGGAAGACAGTTCCAGTTAGTATATTTTTAAGAAGGACAATACTGTCTCTTTTAAATAAGTTTCCAGTTCTGTTTTTTACAGTGATGTCTCTTTCTGCTGATAGGGGCCTCTCTGGTGCTGTCTGTTTGGGGAGAAGCAGGTAGAACAACTACGAATGGGAATACAAAATTATATTTCTAGAAAATAAACATGTAAGTGCTTGTAAATTTTTGAAGTCTAGGTGATAAAACTGGGCAGAGATAGGGATATATGTCTCTTCTTTTAGGGGAGGCAGTAATTAGATGAAAATTAGACCTGTCAAGCAGAAGACTCAATAGTGCTTAAAGTACAGTCTTAAATTATGCAGAAGCCTTCCATTTGCTGCTGACAAACAGCATGTGATTTAATAATTAATTACCTGGTGTATCTGTTGATTACAGATTAGTCTATTTCCAAGCCATCTTTTTGGTTTTGGTTTGGTGAGGTTTTTGTTCATTTTTTTTTCCTAAGAGCAATATTTTATGGTGTTGCAGTGGAGTGCTTTTATTACCTGAATTAGCTCAGTCTCTTAGAAGTTTTTAACATTGGATGGTTTTCAGGAAATTTATAAGCATTTCCCTTACCTACCCTTCTCTTATCAAACTAGATAGTTCTGTGTAACTGCTGGTTTAGGAACTCTGCTTTCTACTACTGCCTTCTTTTTAAAAAAAAAAAAAAAAAATCATTTTTCTTTCTGACAGTCTCAAATCTGTTCCACAATGTTCAGATCATTTTAGAGACATCTTGGTTCCTCCACCAATCACCTGCAGAAGGCTTATTTTGCAGTACAATGACAAGAGAGGTTACTTACATAACAGCGTTTAAAAGTAATACCAGAATGATTTAATCAAACAAGCAAATAGAATGCAAACAAGAGGTCTGCTCCACTGCAGAAAAAGCCACCTACACTGCTTTGAAAACTTTTTTTTCATAATGAAAAAATACAGTCTGTTAACTTATGTGTACCAAATTGATATCCCTGCAATCATGATTTGAAGTCCTCAGTGAGCTTCTGAAATCTTAACTATGCTATTTCATATTCATACTGTAAAGCTCTGTATTATTTGATGTCCCTTATTCTTATGCACAAGATTCCTTTCTCTGAAGATAGAGCCACATTTACCTTAATACTAAGTCCTATGATGATGAGAGGAACTTTTCATAACCGCTTTTGCAGAAGCGGCATAGTAGTTGCCAAGGTAGCTGTTCTGTCAGTGGTATTAGAAACAAACAAGCAAAAAACAACCAAAAAACCACCCCAGTCCACAAAAATAAACTCAATTCATAAACTTATACTAATTTCACTATGGTAAATAGTTTTGGTATTTCTTTCCTTATCCCACCCAAGGTAAGTACAGAGAGGTGCCAACATATTTCTGTAGGCCTTTTCATGACATTTTGCAGCCTGCGCTGTGTGGTGTTGATTATTTTGTTTATTACTAATTCAGTCTTACCTAAAGGCTGTTAGTCGAGGGCTGGGGCTGTGGCACTTGCACTGTATATGACACAATCAGAACTGAAAAAACAGTTGTTTCTCAAATAACCCGTTGTCTCAGTTATACTCTCTTAAAGTATACTCAATATGCCCAAAGGCTATATGATTCTTACAGGGCTTTTGAGAGTGTATGATGAGCAGGAGAGAATCTGCAATGGCTGGATTCCCAGAGGTGTGGAGGAGTTACCTTTTCACACAGCTGGCTGCATTTCCAGCAGTAGAAGTGTCAGAAAGCACTGTTAAATGTTTTGAACTTTTTCCCATTGAGGCCCAGTTTTTAGTTGGGAGCATTGCTTTGGGGAGGGATTGGATTTTGTAGCCTGCCTTAGAGAGGAAAAGCAGCCATGCAGGAATGAACTTACCCTCTTTCAGGGGGAGCTGGAGTAGGAATGCCTGCTGGTTGGAACACAGTGTAATACATAGCTTTTGATGATAATATTCTTAGAATCTGTTTTTTCTTTGGCATCTTTCACATAAATATATCTCCAAACAGATCAGATTTTCCCCTTAATCAGCAGTTTGCATAAGTGAGCTGAGGTGTGAACTTAGCCATAATTACAATCTTACCGTGGGGAAAAAGGAAAGCTGTATTTGCTTTCTGAAGATATTCTTGGGGAGGAGTGGGGGAAGGAAGATAACTGTGAGGAAAATACCCTTCTTGAGAAGGGCAGACAGCTCTAAATGTTGCTGGTGGATGCTGTGCACTTGTCTATGGACTGTTTGATCCACAGCTGCCCTGAGATAGGATTAGACTTTCTTTGTGCAAGATGAGTCCTAAATCCCAAACACTCCAACTTAAAGGGTCTTATAATTGCTTTTAATACGAAATGTGCCATGGTGCTTTTGCCTACATGTGTGTAGTATCCCTCTATGCAGGCACATAGGGTTTACATGCAGACATGTTCATTATACTCTAACTGCCAACAAGCAATAAGATTGTCTATGGGTGGGCCACAGAGAACAAAAAGATTCATCCTTTTTCATGGAGGCTCTGTGCTCTTCTGTTATGCAGCAAGTCATACCGCCTCCGAGTTACCTCTGAGCTCCTGAGAAAGATGACAGCAACAGTCTACCACACCAGGATTCTTCATCCCATCTATAGTCTTATGCCTGCATGTTTCAAGGAGCTTCCTGAAGGGGGAAGCTAGTATTGTGCCAATATGAAGCTAGCTCACACCTAGACATAAAGTGGGCACCCTGGACCCTGGAACTAGAGCTGTGGCTTAGCTGTCTGTTGACCAGCACTCTTATCAGCCAGCCCAATATAATTCCTACTCAGCTTGCACTTCTCTACACACACCTAGACATAAAGTGGGCACCCTGGAACTAGAGCTGTGGCTTAAACTGTCTGTTGACCTGCACTCTTATCAGCCAGCCCCATATAATTCCTACTCAGCTTGCACTTCTCTACCTGAGAAGCAGGAAAGAAAACCTGAAGGTCTTTAAAGCCTGACAAAAGCATGATATGATTGTGCATTGCTTATGCTTCTGTTGAGGAAAATACTCTTAAAACAATGGGCAAGGAGGCTGTTTGGCACATCAGTTCAGTTTTAAAGGACACTTTAAAATGCTGTCTGAGACACTGTATTTCCTTCCCTTCCTTTAAGTCGAGGGGATCAGCTCATTGCTGAATAGTCTACTGCATATAACACAGGAGTCACAGTCAGTCAGCTGCTTGGTCGGTGAAGATGTGTTCTCCTGAAGTGGATTGTTCTGCTTATCTGTTCTTTATCTAATAAGTCGAGGGGATCAGCTCACTGCTGAATAGTCAACTGCATATGACACAGGAGTCACAGTCAGTCAGCTGCGTGATCGGTGAAGATGTGTTCTCCTGAAATGGATTGTTCTGCTTATCTGTTCTTTATCTAAAAATAAGTGCCTGAATAATGTAGAGGGGTGGGAACAGGAAAGGAGGAGATAGAAACAAATGGAGAAGAGTTAAGGTCACTCTGCAGCTTTCACGCTCCTTTAATAATGGAATTAGAAAATAATATGTGAAGATTTAAAAAAATATTTTTCCAGTCCCCACCCTGCATCTTACCCTCTAGAACAAATTCTGTCATGAGATGTCATGAGCAGATAGCAGAGGTAGGAAAATAGTATTGACAGACTCTTAGTAAAGTTGTCAGTCCTACTGAAATGAATGAGACTTGCAGATTGTGCCTTCCAGCCCTAACCATTCTATGATTGTTGGCAATGCTAGGAGCTGTCACCAGTGGCGTGATCATGTGCATAAACCTGGTCTTTCCAAGTTGACATGGGCAGCAAAGCAGGTTATTTTCTCGTACAGCTTGCATGAATTGTCTGGAAGCAAGCAGAATTCATTAATTTTATAGAGCTAATCCTCTGTAAGAAGGCTTTTAGGCATAGTTAATTAAGTACTGTGTTGCCGCGTTACCTAAAACGTACGATTGTACAGGGATGGACGCAATAGCAGAGCCTTTTTATATATTTGTGACTTACTATTGCTGAACAGCAAGTTTTTCTAGTGAGACAGACTGGCTTGCAGGTGATGCAATGAGCTGAAAGGTATGCAAAAATTATCATCATCTGAGATGGCAGAAATATTATCCAGAACAGTGCAGTAACTCATGGCTGGTGTATTCGCTCTTTGATTATCCATACAGTTCTGTATTTCCGAATAGAGGGGTTTTTTAATGTTTCCTAATTAGCCTGTCTGTTTACTTATTCTGATACAAGCAGCCTGAAACAGGTCTTTTTCGGGGGGAAAAAAAAAAATCCTATTCTAGCATTTTGAAGTCTGGAGTAACAAAAAGGTTTTCCTTGTATTTCTTTGGCTCTTTACCAGCATCTTTTCCTGATTAGTTCCTGCCTTTCCTCCACTCCCTAGCATACATGTCAATTTCTTGCTGTGACTGCATTTCCTTTAGAGAAGCTGTGTGAGAATATTAATTTTCTGTTGTCTTTATTGCATGGGATATCAGTGCCTTACAACAGGCAAATGATGGGTGAAGGGAGTCCCTCTTGGCTTTTTTCTTCTATTCTTGAAGGCGAAGAAACCTCAGATTATCTGGGTCAGGCACTGTGCATTCAGCAGCTGTCATTTGGATGGTCATGTGGTGCTGTACATAAATTATAATCAGAGGAGTGAAGTGTACCTGTATTGACTGAACTGAAGAAATTTAACAAGTTCCCTTGAAATGCTATTTCCACATCACCTGTTAAGCATCCATCTCTGGTGAATTAAACTGCTGAGTAGCTGTCCTACAGCTACAACTGTAACTTCAAGAGGTTTTGTTTCATCTTCAGATGTGAAGTCCTTCACAATACCAAAAGGTATA